TCTGACTGCTAACCAGAAGGCTGGCAGTTCAAACCCACCAGCCACTCCTCGGAAGGAAGGTTGGGCAATCTACTTCCGTAGTGATACCACCTTGGAAACCCAAGGAGGGGTCACTAATTGCACCATTTTACAATCCCACCAGCAGTGTGTGAAGGTCCCAGTTTCTCCACACCCTCACCAGCATTTGTTGTTTTCTATTTTTTTGAACTTCGCTAATAAGGTTGGGTAAGATGGTATCTTGTTGTTTTAATTTGCCTCTCTCCAATGGTTAACGAGGAGCTCTGGTAACATAATGCCTAAGGCATCTGACTGGTAACCAGAAGGCTGGCAGTTCAAACCCACCAGCCACTCCTAGGAAGAAAGGTTGGGCAATCTACTTCCATAGTGATACTGCCTCAGAAACCCAAGGAGGGGTTGCTGTGAGTCGGACCCCACTCCACGGCAGTGAGTTTGGTTTGGTTTGGAATGCCTAATGATTGCAAGCATTTCTTCATGTGTTTGTTGGCTGCCTGAATGTCTTCTTTGGTAAAGTGTTTGTTTATGTCCTCTGCCCATTTTCTAATTGGTTGTCTTTTTGTTGTGGAGGTGTTAAAGTTTTTTTTATAAATTTTATAGATTAATCCCTTGTCCAATATGTCATTGGCAAAATTTTTTCCTATCTATAAGTTCTCATTTTACTCTTTTGGAGAGGTCTTTTGATGCACGTAAATGTTTAGTTGTTAGGATGTCCCAGTCATCTAGTTTGTGTTTTACTGTTCGTGCATTTTTAGTTATGTTTCATAGTGTATAGATGCCATGCAGTAGGCCCCTAAGTTTGTTCCTGTGTTTTTCTTTAATCTTTATAATTTTAGGTTTTACATTGAGGTCTTTGATCCATCTTGTGTTAGTTTTTGTATATGGTGAGAAATATACATCCTGTTTCATTTTTCTGCAAATGGTTTTGCCAGCACCATTTGTTTATCTCTTCCCTCTTGTTCTGGTTCCCTAGTGCCCCTCTGACAGGAATAAACCACAAATGGGATGGCTTTAACAAACAGGAGTTTATTCTCTTACGGTTCAGAGGCTTTAAGTCCAAGTTCAAAATACCAGGCTCTAGGGGCTGGGTGAAAGCCCTTCAGCCTTGGGCTTCAGCTCTGCCTCCAGCTCCCGGCCCACTGAAGCTGGAGGCTTTTCTTCACCCAGACAGCTGCTGGCTGCTGAGGCTTAGAAGCCCAAGGTTGACAAGTGAAAAGTCACAGTCTCAATGTTACCAAACAACATGGCAGGTCATTGATTCAAGTCCATTAAAAGTCCCAAGGTCAACAGAGCGTGGCAGGCTGCTAAACAATGACACAGCTATGTGCAGGGTTCAAGTGTGCCATAAGCTAGGGACCATTCCCAAAGCTGCTTCTTATGTACAGGAAGCAGACCACATCCCTAAAGCAGCTACTCAGCTCTTTGTGGTAGATACCATGCAGCTGATTGCCAGTCTCATCATGGAGAATAACTACCACTAGCTGCCCAGCCACTCAACCAGGCCCAGGCAAGTTGGCACACGACCTTAACTACCACACCCATGCAATGGATTTCGGCCCTTTGTCAAAGACCAGTTGTCTGTAGGTGGATGAATGTGCTTTTAGGTTCTCAGTTCTGTTCTGTTGGCCTGTGTGTCTGTTGTTGGATCAGTACCATGCTGTTTTAACTACCATGGCTGTGTAGTAGGTTTTGAGGTGAGAGAATATAAGAGCTCCTACTTTGTTCATGTTCTTTAGTGGTGCTTTGCTTATTTGAGGTCTCTTTCCTTTTCATATCAAGTTGGTGATTAGTTTTTCCATCTTTCTAAAGAGTAATGATAGAACCTGGAATGGGATTACATTATATCTGTAGATCACTTTAGGTAGTATTGACATTTTTACAGTGTTAAATCTTCCTATCCATGATCATGGTATGTTCTTCCATTGGGATTGTGGCAGGACCAGCCCCCAGATTTTGCCATCACAGAGGCGGGAGCCATCCTATCTCCTGTCACTCCTGCCCAGACATGCCTCTGCCTCACAGAAAAGCTTCCAGAATCTTTCAGGAGCCAGGATTATTTTTAAAACTTGAAAATGTACTAGTTTCGCCTTTGAGAAGTAAAATTATGGATGAGTTTTTCCTTTTTATACCTTTATGTCTTTTGAGGAAAAAAAAAAGTTTAAGTTAAAAAAAATCCGTTATCATAACAAGTTTCTAAGCAAAGGCACCTGTAAATATGCATTTTTTAACACATGCATCTTTCAACTCCCTTGAAATTGCTGACTCTGAAAATCAGCTTGTCAAACAGTGTCTGAGCATTAGATAGTTGATCTCATAATGAAATCAAAGGACACTGAGTCACATCTTGTGACAGAAAATCTGAGTGCTCGGGAAGGTTCTGAGTGTGCCCCCTTCTCAGACCCTTCCCGCTGCCGTCCCTCTGCCTGGGACGCTCTGCACTCCACACACAGACTCCCTCAAATCTTTGTTTAGACGTTGTCTTTGCAGTGAGACTTTTCTGACCAGCTTAGTAAACCTCTTCCATCTCCCAGCCTCCATGCCTTTTCCCTGCCTTATATCTCTGTAACGCTTATCACCACCCAACACACTGTATAACTTACTGAGACGTGTATTTATTGCACCTCGCCCTCCCCACCCACCCCACTAGAATGCAAGCTCTGTGAAGGCAGGAATTTTTAGTGTCGTTTTGTCCACCGCTCTACGCTAGCACATCGTAGGCACAAATCTTTGTGAGGGAATGAATCCAGATGGCGGCTAATTATGGCATGCATGGGAAGGTGGCATGGGGAGAACACAGGGCAGGCTCTGCTTAAGCAGAGGCAGGGAGTCCTGTCTTGCCATGAGTTCACCACCCACGCCCTTGAGTCTATGTTTGCACCTTGTTGGCAGCCCAGTTGGCCCAAGCGCCTGCCCGAAGCTGGTGAGGTTCTGTCATTTCCTTTCTTCTCCCTAGGAGCAGGCCATAGAGGTGCTGACCCGCTCCAGCCTGGAAGTTGAGTTGGCTGCCAAGGAGCGGGAGATTGCCCAGCTTGTGGAGGACGTGCAGAGACTCCAGGCCAGCCTCACCAAGCTGCGCGAGAACTCAGCCAGCCAGATCTCCCAGCTCGAGCAGCAGCTGAGTGCCAAGAACAGCACGCTCAAAGTAAGGGCCCCGGGAGTGCACGGGAGGGAGGGCTGGACGTGCACCAGTATCCCCCCAGGCCCCTACATCTGTGCACAGGTCCTGGGGGCACTGGGGGAGCGTGGGCTCAGCAGGTGGAGGCAGGCAGGCACAGTGCATCTTGGTCCCACCAACATCAGGAGCTCCTCAGTAGGTTGCTTCTGCCCCCAGGGCCTGGGATGTACGTTGCACTTGGCCTCATGATGATGGCAGGAGGCCTCATCTCAGAAGCGGCCTTATTTGCCCTACCTTGGCCATCACACACAGCGTAGCCAATGTTAGTTTTCTGCAGAGATAATGGTTAATGCCTGCTTCAACCGTCAGCAAACACCTTCTCCTCAGATGAGAGTAGCATAAATAAGACCTGAGGCTCCCCTCTGACTCCTCAGAGGCGTGGTGTATACACTCTGTCAGAGCTCCATTTTGGCAAATATCTCGTCTGGAAGAGAACTTCTCACTGACGGCAAACATAACAGCCTTGAGTTTCTGTGGTGGCTGAAGCAGAGCCCCCCAGCCGCAAGGCCCGGGGGCTGCATTACAGCTTCTGCCGGGACTGTGTCTTCCTCCTGATGGGCCACACCTGGCCTGCACCACGTGTCCCTGGTGCTTGGGCTCGATCCCAGTCTTCCAGCATCTGTCCACTGGACTGTCAGCCACATGAGCCCTCCCAGGATAGAAGGTCTGGTTCTGCGTGGAGGCTCTGTGTGCTCTCACACAGTGGAGCCTGGGGTGTTTGTCCAGGTCGGGGGCCATCTCTGCAGCTGTCCCTGTCAGCCAGCTCTTTGGGGCTGCCCTGGGTTTCTGAGGATGGCCCCGATGGGAGGAGGGCTTCAGGACCCAGTGCTTCAGAATTCTGGCTCTTCTTGCAACTAAATGGAACCCAAGACATTTGTCGAGCTCCCCTGTTCCCTGAGACCTGGAGGCCATGCATGTGAGCTGCAGGGGATGCTTTGGGTTCCAGCCTGGTGCCTCAGGCCTCTGCTGTACCTGGGAGCCCAAAGAGCAATGCTGATTCAGCACGGGGATGCCCATGTCCACAGGAGTTGTGTGCCGGCCTCTGTTCAGAAGCTAGGTCGTCTTGGGGTTTCTCGTAAATCTCTATCCCAAATCCAGAACCTGAAACTTTTCCATATATTAAAAATACTACTACTAATTCCTTTAAGATCTTTACAGTCTGTTGAACTTACTGCACTAGAAGGTGGTTCTGGGGTCCTGGGATCATAGCACATCAAAGCCAGGAAGGACTCCTCCAGAAGTGTCTTACTTGATGGATGTGAAGGCTGGGGCCAGAGAGGAGACGGCCCCAGACTCCAAGACTGGAGGTTTTCCCACCCTGCCCGGCCACTAGTAACGCTCACTCAGATTTGTGCCTGGCCTTCTCAGTCTAGGTGTGAATGAGTGACTGGCTGTAAAGTACCTCCATTATATGTTGAATATAGTGGATAAACTTCATCTATATTAAATAAAGATAATCAAAGTCAGGGGAGCTCAGGTAGCATAGTGGTTAAGACACTTGCCTGCTAACCAGAGGGCTGGCGGTTCAAACCTACCAGCCACTCCTCGGAAGGAAGATTGGGCAGTCCTACTTCCGTAGTGATACTGCCTCGGAAACCCAAGGAGGGGTCTCTATGAGTCGGGTTTGACTCGATGGCACATAACAACAACAACAATCAAAGTCAGTTGTAAAAATTTAAAGAAAATTTTTGTTACATAAGATAATTCTAGACTACAGTTAAGCTGCTTTTGATTTGAAAATAAGAGAAAAACAAAACAAAAATGAGCATTTCTTCTTGACACTTCATGTGTCTCTAACCCAGGACTAAATTGCTGAGGCATCCAACAAGCCTGTCCTCCTGGCGGCTTGCTGGCCAGAGCTCGCTGATGCCGCCAGCACCCATATCACCCTTGCTAGCTGCTGCTTTGCCTCTTTGGGGTGGCTGCCTGGTTCTGTTTGAGGAGACAGTGCTGCCATCTTTGGCGAGATGGTTGAAACCCAGTCACCTTCATCAGCAGCCATGGGGAGAAATCCGAGGTTTTGATTCTCTCACCAGCTTGCCACAGAGATTCTTGCCTGGAATGATTTCTCACGTCTAGATTCCGTCTGATTTTGCCCATGATGGCCATTCTGACCCTAGCAATGGCGTTACTGTGAGGATAATCTGCCTCTGTCTGCTCTGTCACAGTTGAAGGGCGTGGCTCACCCATTCTGCATCTGCCAACATGAGAGGGAGGCCGTGGGCCATACGTTTTTTATGACAGAGCAACTTCTAAATCAGTTAAGGTTGTAATGTTTGCCTTCACAAAAAAATGAAATGCAGTTTCACAAATTAATGTTCTTTATCCATATCTTGGGGGAATTCTTTAATACTGTGCAGTTAATGAGACACTTTGGCGATACTTCTTCCAAAATTATTACTCCCTTATCTTCATCTGATCTGATAATCAAAACATGTCCTCTAGTAACAAGACTTCTCTGATTTTAATTATCTTAACCCCTTGTTGCCAGGAGTACCCATTTCCCTAATATCAACCACACAAAAGGCATTACCCTCCCCAAATGAACTCATCTTTCCCCCCCTCACCCCAAGGAATAAGGTTAATTGAATGAGATACCTTCTCAAGGCCTTTTTTTTTTTTTCCCTGATGTGTATCATTTCTAGTCTCAAATCTGAACTAAGCAGTTACACAATTATTAGGAAAATCTTTTATGAATGAGACTGTCAGCTTGGCCACCTGACGCTCTGGTAGTGGGCACCCTGACCAGGATTGTGGGGCCGCTGGCCACAGGCTCCCAGGGGACCCCTTTCACTCACCGTGGGGCTTTCTCCTCCTTCTTCCGTCTCCCTTTCACCCCTTCTCTCACACCACAGTTTTGAACTTTGGAGGCTCCAGGACACAAGGGGGGCAGGGAGGCTTGGATGGAGCTGCTATTTGTGGACAATGCCCAGCCTCTCACCTATCTCAGCTTCTTGGAGTTGAGGGTGGTTTTGCCTTAAACATTTGACAGTGGCCTTTGAGACAGATATGTTTGATGACAGTCACTGACCAGGGGTAGGGGGTAGCTCGCCCACAGGCAGATGGGTCATGGGGCAGAATCTTGGCCCTTTTTCCACCACACAGTACAGAAGTTCCTTGATGATACACTTTCTGTTGAGTGAGGGCTAACGGAACACCTGGGGACTGATTGGCTTGCTTTCTCTAACCCCATAGAACTCTCCACCCTTTGCCACTCATATCTCTTCCCTTCCCTTTGGTAACTGAGAGTCATTCTCTGGGGTGCGTGACAGCTGGGTGTTCACCAGGCTGCCCGCCCCGTATCCTCCTCCTCCTCCTCCTCCTCGCAGGGTTTGTAGGAACTGCATCAGCACCACATAGGACAGGGCCTCCTCTCACCTCTGGGAGACAGTGAAACAGCAAAGTGGGAGACGCTTCTCCCTGTCTGATCTGACAGGTATTCAGGCCCAGAGCTGCTTTGAAAGGATCAGTCTGCATTAGTAATTAATGAACTACCCAGACCGCCATGACGGGCTGCGGTTTTTGATGACTCTCATCTCTCTGGTCTTCTGTTGGAATGCTTTCCTGTGAAGGCAGTGTCATTAGACAGTCACCGGCAGTGTACTCACTGCAGCACAGAAAATAATGCTGCCAAGAGCGTCCATTGAAAGCAGGCATTTATAAGGAAGGCTAGCTAAAGAATGCCAGTCTCTCACGGGGAGAGACTCTGTGTTCTTAAGATGCTTTGGGGAGCCAGTACTTTCCTCTGGGTAGGTGGGCACATGAATTAGCATCACCTGGGAGACATTTCCCAAACCGTCCATGCTCCCCCAGTCCCCCGTGCTCCCCAGTGTCCCGTGCTCCTCACGGATTCTGACAGGTCATACTGAGCCGCTGTGGGGGCAGGCCATATCCCTCAGGGGCTGCGCAGGACAGAAGGCTGATAACAGGGCTCCAGGGTCCTTCAGTGCCTTTAGACTGTGCCTCTGCAGGTAGCTCAGAGCCCTGTCCAGCAGCCTGGACCTGGAGCCTGCTGCAGCCTGTCCGTCCCCGCACCAAGCTACCTCCCTGATAGTTTACACGCATCTTACAGACTTCTCAGTTTGTAAAGCTCTGACGTCCATGTCGCCGGTGGGCGTGGGAGGCCTATGCAGGAGGTCACTGGAGCTTGAGATCAGGCCCAGGCCGTCCTGCCTGGAGGTGGGCTCACAGGTGCCACTGGTGTTCTGACACCACGGTCCCCGCCATCCCTCACCGCATCCTCCCTCCTGCCAGCAGCATGGGGTGAGGAGGTGAGGCCCACACCTGGGATGGAAGGTGGGTTCTGACACCAAACACCCCAGGGCCCAAGGACCCTGGGGGGACCAGCCTGCCTAAGCGTGGTCTTTGCTGGGTCAGAAAGGCATCACGAGCACAAACGGGAGGAGAGGAAGGCTGAGGCTTCCACGCGGAGGAGAGAGGCGAGTGATGGTCATGGGCAGCGGGAGCTGAGGAGGCTGCCTGGCAGGAGCGGCAGGCGTGTTGGGGGTGCACGCGGGAGCAGTCTTGCAGGAACAGAGGGACTGGTTGCTAGAGGCCTGGAGTTCCATGGCAGGACTGAGGTGGTATCGGCAGGCAGTGCAAGGTCAGAAAGGGGTTCCCATAAACTGCTGGGAGCAGTTGGCATTACTGCACTGCTTTAGGGGAGCTAATTATATATAGCAATCTTACCCTGAACCCTCTTGGAAAGACAGCATGTGCCCCCAATCCCTTGTGAATAGACCCAGCTATCTCACACACGTGATCCTCGGCCTGAAGGACTTCCCTGCTCATTGTGACACCCAACAGCCAGGTGGCCTAAATGTTGCACCTGTCCCTCCTGGTCAGTGATGGTGCTGCTCTGTGAGGAGGAGAGACTCCGGTCTGCCCTGCGACCAAGTCACACCTGGCTGGAAGCTCATGGAAGCTGGAGATGGGCCGTGATGTGTTTGTGCGGAGTCAGACATCTTCAGCTCTGCTGCTCCAGCCACACTGTGTCAGAGTCTGTCTGGGTGCCAGAGCCCTGCCTTCTGAAAGCGTCACCCCCTCATCTGGCCTTGGGAGGGTCTCATCCTTTCTCTCTGTGTCCTCAGAATCCCTACAGGATACGCCCATACCCACCTGCATGTTCTCAAAGGGTTCCAGGAGATGTAGGCACCAGGGCACCCCTGGGATTTGCCCCAGGCCCAGCATCAGTAGACCATAAATTTCCATAACGTCTGCCTCTCACCCGAGGACCCATGTAGCCGGGTGTTCTAACCCAGGAGAGGGCCCCCGCTCAGTAGAAAGGGGAACACTCTATCTAGTCCTGGAAAGCAGATAGTATCAGCTCAGGGCTTTGCCCCCACACGGCCCCTTGCCCAGGGAGCCCACTCACACAGCCCCTCAGCCCAGTGCAGGGTCCAAGCAAGGCCAAGGAGGCAGTCACCTGACCCCCGTGACCTGGACTGATGGGCCCTCAGACAGCACTGCCGCAGGCCGGGCTCCCTTCACCCTGAAGGGAAGGATGGACCCATCAGCCTGCAGCGCGGATGCCTCTTTGCTGCCTCAGACTTTTGTGGCGGAAAGGTACTGCCGTCTGACCATCACTGTGACTCCTGCAGGGTGGCCCGGCGGATGTGCGCTTGAGCATGGTCTTCAGTCAGCGTTGGCAGGCGGTGTAGCCTCCCCTCACACGACTTGAGGAGACTCCTGGCACGCTTCCAACCCCCTTCCCCACTCGAAGCTGATGGGATTGTGAGACTCAGCATTCCGAGCAAGATGCCTTGTGCAGGGACAGACGTGGTGCAGTCAGGACCGCCTCTTTGTAGTGGCCCAGCCGGCCATCTGTCCACCTTGCCTGCCCAGTGACAGAACTGTCCATGGAGGTTTACAGAAGAGCATGGTTATTTCCAGATGAAGCTCTCCCCAGTTGGATGGCAGAAAACACAGTGGACTCCGTTCAGTTCTTGGTGAACACTTGTCATCGCCAACTAATTTGCACAGACTCTAATTCTAAAGCTTCCTGTTGGGGGTCACGTGTAGGTCTTCAAAAGAAACTACCCCTGAACCCTTCATGGCAACTGGGAGCTACTAAGCTCTGGGACCTTGCAGATGCCGCCTGAGTCCAGGCCCTCCCGTCTCACACCTTCGCTCACTGATCCTCACCCACCTCTTTGAGGTCCCTGCTTTTATGCCTATTTTACAGATGAGAATAATTAACATGTCCACAGGCTCCTGGTTTGTAAGTGACAGAGCTGGACTTGAGGCTCAGACCCTCGGCCTCCTTGAGCTGGTCTGCCTCGGTTTCCCTGCACGCGGCCCTTCTCGTCTTCGTTCTCCGAGCGTGACCGAGTTTCTCCAAGCGCGTCTCCCACATGCACCTCGAGTGACTGCCACACCCTGAAATGGGTTTTGCATCCCAGCAGCACTGTGGGTGATCTGCTGTCAGGCGGCTGATGCATTCACGCTTCCTACTGTTTGACTAGAAGCTTTTCTGAGCACCTTCAGAGGTTTTTTTTGTAGGGAAATGAGCGCATACTACACCCTGCTTGATCGTGAGCTGAGAAAGCCATTGTAATATATGAATGTAGCAGGAGGGTTTGAAAAGGAGCTAGGCCAGAACAGTTTCTCACAGTGGGAAATATGCACAAGAAACTGCCACCAAGGCAACAGAAGACGCCGGGCCTGCTACACCCCGTGCGGAAATGCCGCCACTCCTGAGACAGACGGCAGGTTGGGATTCAGATGAGCCAGAGGCCTGAAGGGCCAGTTGGGCTGCTCCTGCCAGCCCTGGAGAGCGTCCCCCGAGGCTGTGAACTGTTGTCTCGCTGTGACGGATCAGCAACTGGAAGCTCTGAATGAGGAAGTGCTGGCCGTTCAGGGAACGGTGGTGGTTCACCACACGCCGGACACACGCACCATTTCCACAGCCTCCACTGAGTCTACACGTTTGAAACTGGGCTGCCGTATGTCCCCTGTGGAGGAGTATCAGGAGCAAACTGGTCCAAGATCACCTCCATGGAAGGCAGTACCTTCGATCAGCCACCCTAAGCCAGAGGGCACTTCCAGCAAGGAAGGCCTGCAGGGCTCTGGACAGACGACAGCCACATGACAAGACAAGACACTGGCCTCATTACACCTCAGAAATGGGCTGTTGCTCCCTAGGCTCCTGGGCCTTTTTGCTAAAGGGCTGTGTGGGCCGGAGATTGTTGAAGGGCTTCAAGGGCTGGGAGTTGGAGCCCTGTACTCCCCGCTGACAAGGGCTCCCAGGCAGGAGCCCTCTCTCAGGAGAGGGGGTCTTCCCTGCCAGGACTCAAAGAAGCCCCTGACACTAAGCCATCTCCTCTCCTTAAAACCCAAGGGCTGCAGGCACTTGCTCCCAGGGCCTAGTGGATGGTATTTCATGCAGGTGGACCTTTCCTTATTTGGTTTTGTAATGATATTCCTTCTACGTCCATTGCATTTTATGTTACAACCTTATGTTGGTGGTGTGTGTGTGTGTGTGTGTTTGCACATACAACAGACAGGAAGAGTGAAGGACAGAAGATGACACCTGTCCATTGTCAGCTTTCGTTTGTCTATGTTTGCTCTCCGTCTTGGGGGCCGGCTGCATGTTCACAGGGAAAGTAGCCGATGAATGTCACCGACCTATTTTCTGAGTTTACCACTAATAGAATCCCCCTCTCTTTACAGCAACTGGAAGAAAAACTCAAGGGGCAGGCTGACTATGAAGAGGTGAAGAAAGAATTAAAGTAAGTGGGCAGTGCCATAGCTTGTGAGTCACGTACGGCAGCAGAACCCAGGGCAGCGGTGGCACAGGGCTGGCCGCCGTCAGCGCAGCCTCCTGGACACGTGTGAATCTTCTGGGCACTGCCACCAAGGGGCGTCCTGGCTGCCCGGCGCTGGGCAGAGCTGGGGGCGTTTGCACTCAGGCCTGGCCCTGCATTCCTTGGGCTTCTTCTAAAATTCTGTGCATTTCAAATGTGCTGATTGCCATAGAACCTGGGGAGAGATCGCCTTTGTAGAAGCTATAAAACAAGAGCTTGCTTTTCAGCAAGAAGCCAGAGAAGCAGAGGAAAGAAACGTAAGAAACGTTTTCCAGTTGAAAGGATACATGTGGCCTCAGACTTCCTTGACCTCCTGGACTCCAGCACCCTCTTCTTCCAGCCCCCCACCCCTACCCCCAGTCCAAGACCCCAGCCAAAGGCTTGTCATCCCTTACATGACAATATGACACTCTCAAGTATGGCTGCCTCACTGTCCCTCCCCGAGCCTGCCCTTGGCCCTCTGGAGCTGCTAGGTCCTGGTCGCTCTTGTCTCCCTGAGTCTAGGTCCTGGTCCCTCTTGTCCCCCTGAGTCTATCGCTCCCGGGCTTCATTGACCCCTCCCCAGCCTGGGGCCCACGATCAGACCCCGCAC